CCCAGCAGTTCCCTGTTTAACCATGTGAGTCCCCTGACTCTCTTTCTTGATTTCCTACTTGTTGGAATGCTCTGATCTGGATCTTAGAAGAAGTGGTCCTTGAATACAAACCAACTATTCTGGGCCCCTTTACCTTCTAGTACCGTGTCCTGTGGCATTTCCCCTAGCAATTACTTGAGAAGGCCAAAATTGGCCCTGCTGAAGTCCAGAGTTGTGATCCTGCTTGGCAGTCTGTTCCTACCGCACAAGATCCTGAACTCCACAAAAAAAAGGCAGCCAAGGCTGCCCTCAACCTTGACTGCTTCAACCAGAGCCTCCTTCTTAGTGAGTATATGATCCAGCAGTGCGCCTCTCCTAGCAGTGCTGCCCTTTGCCCGCTTGGCCCCTCTTGTAGCAGAGGTGGCTGTGGTCGAGCAGTGGCCGCCCATGCTGGGGATCCTGCCAAGGGCCACCCTGGTGAGAGATGAGCCACAGATCATAGCGTTGGACTGAGCAGGGTCCTGTTCCCCTGGGCAAGTAGAGGTCCTGAGAGAGCATGGCAGGGTGAGGGGCTGTGAAACCGGGCTACAGGTGTTCATGACAGGAGACACACACCAGGCCTCGTGGATGCTGACAGGGTAGGCCAGAGGATGTTCTGGAGGGAGCAGGGGAATGTGGGCACCCTCTGGTCACTGCAGGGGACTGACAGAAACATGGGGAGTCATAGGGCAGGGCGAGAGTTCATTTCTGGGGATAGCTGGAGGTCTGCAAGAGCTCCAGGGGTTTTGGCAGAGGCAGGAAGCAAACCTGCCCTCACAGCTCCAAGGCACCACGGTCAGGAGCTGGACAGCCCTGCTCACATGCAGCAGGTGACAGCAAAAGGCTGGTGATCATCGGGGCAGGGTCAGGCCAGGGTGGGGCTGCTGTGAGGGTGCAGGGCAGCTGTCGAGAGATCAAGGACGGGGCCATGTGAGAAGCAGGGACAGGACGGAGGATGTCAAGGCCAGGAGATGATCGTGGTTCATGGGGCAGTGGCGGTGACACTGCTGGTGCTGGCTTCCTGTAACCTCTGGGGTTTTGCTTTCGGTTTCTCTTGCCCTGTTTACTCACCTGGATGCTCACACCACCTCCATTGTGTCGTCTGTCTTCTTAGGAGACCCTGAGAGACCCCCCCAGCCATAGGAGTGATGAAAGGATAGAAGTGAAGTCTGACTCCTCAGGGGTCCCTCATGGCTCTTGGTGGCCTCGCATGTCGCTGTGGGCTTCCCCCTCCAGGGCTCCCAGTCTCATCCTCCCGCTCCCACTGGGATCTCTTGTCTTTAACCTCACAGAGTGTTTGGAGAAGTATTTGAGGACTCACTTCTGCTGCTAGTGACAG